CTATAATTCGAGAAGTTTTTGCTGAAGTTTGAAGGGAAGAAAGCTGAAAAAGGGTCATTTTACTCAACTCCTCTACTGAGCCAAATGCATCCATACTTGGTTCTGCCTTGGCAACTCACCAGCCCAAGCCAAACTGTGGTCCAAAGAACCTGAGAAACAGAAAGGAAGGTGGAGAGCTATTATGGTGTGACGACTGTCAGAGAACGAATCACAGCAGAAACCTGTTGGAAACTCAATGGCAAACCTGCCGAATGGAAGCCAAGGAATCAAAGAGAATCTACTAGAGCTCTTGCACCAGAAGCATCCTTTGGCAACAATCAAGATGGGTCATCTCAGCCTGACTCTTGACCAAGTTAAGGTATTGCCAACCATTCTTAGCCACCAAAATATCCGTATTGAATCAGAAACTACGACTTCCCCTCAAGTGCACCGATGGCTCATAAAGGTACCATCGTTCTTCACTAAAGTTGAGACACATCAAGACTGAATTATTGATATAGGTGCGTCAGATCGCATGAGTGGCAGTCGAGATACCTTCTCCACATATGACACTTGTGGGGATGATATTCACATTAAAGTGGCAGCTGGTCAAACAGTAAAGGCTGAAGGTCGTGGGAATGTAGACATCTTAGTACTAAAATTGAATCAGTTCTACATGTTCTACACCTGAAATGCAATCTTGTTTCAATTAGTAAACTCACCGAAGACATAAATTGTGCAGTAACTTTTTTCCCTTCTTTGTGTGTTTTTCAAGACCTATCTTCGGGGAAGATGATTGGCAGTGCTAAGGAGCGTGATGGCCTCTATTTTCTTCGTGACATGAGTTCCTCCCCACAATCTCCACCTCTTGAAAAAGTCTCATTATCAACTGTGTCTAACTCTGAACTTATTTTGTGGCATAAACACTTCTGTCATTCTAGTTTTCCTTACCTTAAATCGTTGTATCCCCACTTATTCATCAATGAACTCATTTTGTGGCATAAATGCCTCTGTCACCCTAGTTTTCCTTACCTTAAAGCGTTGTATCCCGTTTTCACTTCACAACCACCTACCTAATCAACAGATTGCCCTCAAAACCTCTAAAGCTCCGTACTCTTATCAGCTGCCTTCTAGAAAGTTCTCCCACAGCTCATCTTCTTGATTCTCTACCCCTCAAAGTTTTTGGTTGTGTGGCATTTTTTCACAAGCACAACCTTCAAAACCTCTAGTTTTCATTGTGAACATTGTCTCTAAACAAACTAGAAAAAGCTATTTCCCTCATTTTTATCAACCAACAAAACCATTTCATCTCATTTATAGTGACATCTGGGGTCCCGTTCGAGAACGCTCCCTTATGGGTCTAAGATGGTTCATCACTTTCATTGATGATAATACTCGGCTTTGTTGGGTATACCTAATGAAAGACAAATCAAAAGCAACAAGCATTTTCAAAAAAATTCATAAATATGTTTCCACTGTTTTTCAATCCCAAATCGAAGTTCTTCGAAGTGACAATGGAAAAGAGTATTTCACCCATGACTTGTCCCAGTACCTTGTCAATCATGGGATTCTTCATCAAAGCTCGTGTTTACACCCCCAACAAAATGGGGTTGATGAACGCAAAAACAAACAACAAACACCTTTTGGAGGTAGCTCGATCCTTAATGTTTGCTACCACCATTCCGGCAAAGCTGTTTTCACAGCCGCCTACCTCATCAACAGATTGCCCTCAAAACCTCTAAAGCTTCATACTCTTATCATCTGCCTTCTAGAAAGTTTTCCCACAGCTCATCTCCTTCATTCTCTACCCCTCGAAGTTTTTGGTTGTGTGGCATTCGTTCACAAGCACAACCCTCATAGAGCTAAACTTGATCCTAAGGCAGTCAAATGCATCTTTGTAGGGTACTCCTCCACACAAAAAGTTCTTTACATCATATGATGTCTCCTTTTTTGAAGATCAATCTTACTATCCCAATGGTTCTCTTTAGGAGGAGCATATACATGAAGAAACCAACAATATCTCTACCAATATCATTTCCCCAGTCACACGAACCACCTTCACCACCTTCACCTCAACCTACACATACTTCCCCCTTACCTACACCTACTCCATCCTCCTCCATGAGACTGGGGCTGGCAATGGGTGGGGTAAGGATAAGGTAAAGGTTAATTTGTTATGGAATCCATTTAAAATAGCAGGTAATGAAACGAGTGATTATCCATGTCATAAAATTCTTATCCATATCCATACCCTACTCAGTACTCACTAAGATAATGGGTAACGAAATGGATAGTGGATAAATGATAAAAGAAAATCATTTTGAACTACAATAATATTGTTAAACATCAACACATAAGTAAAATATAAGTTCATAAATATAATCTTTATTTTATATCTAATTTGTTCCAATAAACATTGTGATATTGTTTTAAATATGTTATAGTGTGATATTTTACACAACAATATAAAACTCTGAAGACAACATTTATGTTTGTTTTATTTATTTTTAGCAACCCCATGTTGCTTCTAATTTGATTATCCTAATTAACTCTTTTAGTTGATGAATATGAAAAGAAAATTAAATACCAATTAATATACGTTTTACAACATATAAGATAACATTCTAAAAAATATATTAATATTTAACATTATACAGTTATATGTATGTAATGTATATGTATGTGTGTAGATGTATATATAAACGGGTAATAGGTAAATGGATAACGAAAAACACTTTATCCATAGGGTAACAGATCAATGGATAAAATTTTCTTTACTCATACCCTTATCCAACAGGTCGAACATAACTGGTAACGGGTTTACCCTTACCTATTGTCAACCCTACATGAGACATGATCAAGGAGTACATCAAGGAGGAGAACCTATCACCAATGAAGCACCTAAGGTTTATTCAAGAAAGCCAATTGCTCCCCAAACTGCTCAATCATTAGAATTGGAGGCAAGTCAAATTCCACAAACGAAGATGCGGAGTTGGGGATGATCCAGATCTTCCAATTGCCATCAGAAAAGGAGTAAGAAGTGCACTCAATTCCCTTTGTCTACTCACTTAACCTATGTGAAATTGTCTCATGGTTACATGGCTTTTACAACAAAAGTTGACAGTATAGACATCCCAAAGAATGTTCATAGCGCTCTTCTTGATCCAAAATGGAACGAAGTTGTTGAAGAAGAAATGGATGCTCTCTTAAAGAATAATACTTGGGAATAGTTGATCTTCCACAAGGAAAAAGGGTGGTTGGATGCAAATGGATATTACCGTGAAGTTCAAACTGAATGGAGAAGTAGAGAGATACAAGGCGAGACTAGTGGCTCAAGGATACACCGAAACACTGGGTATTGATTATGAGGAGACGTTTGCTCCCGTAGCTAAGATGAACTTAATCAAGGTATTACTTTCTCTTGCTGCAAACCTTGATTGGGAACTCTATCAACTAGATATAAAAAATGCCTTTCTAAATGGAGAATTGGAAGAGGAAGTATTCATGAAGATACCTCCAGGGTTTCATGATGAAAATACCAAGGTGTGTAGACTCAAAAAGTCCATCTATGGACTAAAACAGTTACCACGAGCTTGGTTCACCAGGTTCAGTTCAGTAATTAGGATAATCAAATGAGAAGCAACTTGGGGTTGCTAAAATATATTAGCTTTCCCACCAATTGTTGTTCATCAAGCAAGGAGAAAGTCGAAAGAGGGTGATTCTCATTGTGTACGTGGATGATATGGTAATCACTGATGATGACCAAGAAGAGATCAATAAGCTAAAAGGTCACTTAAAGATTCAATTTCAAGTTAAACACCTGGGAGCACCTGAAGTACTTCCTTGGAATGGAGGTTGCCCGGAGCAAACAAGGAATATTTGTTACTCAAAGAATATATACCCTTGATTTGCTACGGGAAACTGAAAAAACTGGTTGCAAGCCTGCTAATTGGAAAGAAACTGGAAGGAAAAGGTTATTAATGGTGACACTCTAGGGGACCGGGGTAGATACCAGAGATCGGTGGGAAAGCTAATATATCTCACACTCACAAGGCCCAATGTTACCCATAGTGTGAGTATAATAAGTCAGTTTATGCATTATCCCACTAAAAGACATTTGGAAGCAGCTAACAGAATTTTAAAGGACCTCAAGGAACTCCAGGCAAGGGAATTTTGTTTAAGAAAAGAAAGGAACAAGATGTTAAGGGATTTGCAGATGCTGACTGGGGTGGATCAGAAGATAGTAAGTCCACAACAGGTTATTGCACAAAAGTATGGGGAAATCTAGTTACTTGGCGAAGCAAAAAGCAATCAGTAGTGGCAAGATGCACTGTTGAGGCAGAGTACCAAGCAATTGATCAAGGGGTCTGTGAACTAATCTGGATAGAGAAGCTTTTGAGAGACCTAAAGGTTCCTATCAACAGTCCTATGAAGCTATATAGTGGGAACAAGTCAGCAATAAGTATAGTTCACAACCCTGTCCAGCATGACTGAATGAAGCATGTGAGAATCGATAGGAGTTTTATAAAAGATGAAATTGATTCAGGGACAATTCTGATTTCCATGTTCCATCAAAGCAGCAAGAAGCAGACATTCTTACCAACATACTGTCCAAATCAGATTTTGAAGCTTTAGTTAGCAAGCTGGGAATGATTGAAATCCATTCCACAGCTTGAGCAGGAGTGTTGGAAAGTATATTAGGAAGTTGTGATGTGAATATTCTGTTGTAATATGGAAATCACTAATTGATTTTCTTAATCTTTTTGATTTCCCTTAATCCTTTCTCTTCTTAGCTAGCTTCTTGTCTATAAACTGTTTGTATTCCCTATTTTGTAAAGATAACAAAGAAATAATCTTTCTTGGCCTCTTTGTTCAAAAGGTCTTTGAAATAATATATCACCTCGACCATCAAATGAACTCGTGGTTGTTTTTCACGTTTTTGTGACATACATCTGTTTATGTTTGAGTTGGTTCTTTTTCCCTTTCAATGCACACTTTAATAATCCACTTGACACTTACAGGTGTCTTGTGTTGGTGGTTTTGGTTCCAATTCCTACATGTACAAGATCAATGGAACTGCAAACATCACAGCGATTAGAGCTGCAGCTGAAAAAGGTTGGAGCTGAAACCATTTGGCTTCTATCTAACACTGCTTGCCTCCTCCTGCTTTATTTTGTAGTTTTTTGGATCATTCAGTGAAGTAATAAGTGATAAAAGAAACTCAACAAGCCAAGAAAATAGAACCGATGAGAAAGCAGTCTCTGCATGTAACATTTATGATATAGCAGAAACCAATTTCCCTCTTCTACGGACTTGATTATTATTGCAGAATTTGGTGGTTCAATATGAATGGTGGTCATATTCAGATTCTTTAGATGAGGGATCATATATTCTTAATTTAAAAGGGTCCACAAAAACCAAGTCCTTGCATCATATCTGTGATTTGACAACATATCCAAGCATTACATATGGCGGCCTTTCCACATGATCATCTTTGATGCTAGCACCATCACCTTGTACTACTTTGCGATGTGCGGCAGAATGAAAGCCACAATCAGTAGATCGCCCCGGGGGGGGGGGGGTCCTTGATGGAATATAGACAGAAAAACTAGCAGAAGAACCCACAGAATGGCAGCAGGCCTTGGTACTACTTTGTGAATGTGCGTCAGCTATGGTCGCTGTTTCACAGAGGCAGCTCTTTTGCAAGACCTAACTCTAAGGCTCTTCTACTGTGTAATGGTTTAGGGTCTAATATTGTTCATGTATTACCAAGAAAACCCCATATAACTAATGTAGAAGAGGGGTTCATGGGCCAAAAATCATGAACAATGTATCAAAACAGGAGTACCATTAGATGGAATATAAAGTGAACATAATGGAACTACTATCTTTAACACATAACATGCAAGTAAGGTTCTTCATGCTTATTAGTTATTACATCTAAATGTGTTTCAGAGAATTCTTAGAGCAGTATTGTATTTTGTTAATCCGCTTCTCTTTCTTCCCTGCAGGAGTTAAAAGGTTTGTTTATGTATCTGCTGCTGACCTTGGTGTGGTCAATTACTTTCTACAAGGATATTACGACGGAAAGGTAAATGTGGACCACAGACCATTTGCTTTTAGCAATCATAATTTTGTTGTTGATTCTTAGGTTAATTTGCGCATCTGATAATAAAGCTAAAGTGTGCCCATGATTCATCTAAGAAGTCCATTTTCATGTTGTTTGGAAAATTAACCCGCTGATTAGTCCTTATCTTAAAACGTCGAGTCCAATCTCAAAATATTCCTGTCTATATTGTCCTGGATATCTTCCTTAAATATTTAACCTTCCAGTTAGCTGTGCCCTTGCTCATCTACTTGCTATTTGCTACCTGCTCCTACCCATGCATACATAATCTTAAGGGACTGTATAGTGCTTGCGAGTTCAAGGTCAAATTTTATAGGTAGGTAGTATAGCCTATCACTGTCTTCTAGGAATAATGTTGTTCACAAGAAGATAACATTTATGAGATGAATGTAGCAGAGATACAAATATATACAGCCACACAAGAATATATATATATATGTGTGTGTGTGTGTGTGTGTGTGTATGTATGTAGGATTTGTTGCTTTGGGAAAATGTATGAGGAGGCTATTAGGAGAGTAAGGGTAGACAAGCTAATGTGGTGGAATACGAACGGGGATGAATGACTGGAGATGCCAAAGGAGATGGCCCTATATAGAAAGTCTGGATGAATTCTAGACATATTTCGGATCCCTATTATTGGTTTAGCTTCTCCCACTTTTTGATGGATAGCTTAGACCAACTAGTTTGTGATAGTAGTAACAGTAGTAGCAGTAATTAGTGTTTTAGCATTGTTGTCGATGCAATCTATGAAGACAAGGAAATATCCTGTAGCCAACTCATTTAGAAAATATGATGATACACATCACTGAAATGACTGTTAACCAAATTCGAGCCTTGCTTTTAGAAGTTTGTCAATATATTTGACAACAAAGAGGTATGATCATATAACCTTGCATAGCACACCAGCACAAAAAGCCCTTTCTTTTTCTGTCTCCGGTCAAGTGGCTCCGCTCTTAGGGAGAGAATATGCATAGGAACTGCGGGACCCATACTAAAGGGGAAATGGAAGTGCGCTCGACTGCATACCAGCTGAAAAAGCCTTCGTTCCCATCCTTCGGGTTTTTAACTCATGTAAAGTCCATTCCTTTTTTTTGCCTACTTTTAAGCTTAGACGAAAGAGTTCTGTCATTCTGTGCCACTTGGTTGCCTCAAAATCAAGAAGACGTGCATATATTTTTGTATCTTTCTTCCTGTTCTCTTGTAAGTGAAAATCTCAGCCTGTAATTGATAAACCTCGCATCCACGTCTGCTCACTCACTCTTCTGATGGTTCTTTCTGGTGCAAGTTTTTTGATAATTGATGGAGAACTGTTGGTGAATCCCTGATGACTCTTTTTTAGAGTTACAAATATTTCCTCTGATTTTTGTGTGAATCCAAACAGTCTTAGGCTTCCACCAAAAACACTTCTCTCTTTTCGTTGCCTGTGGACTAGTTTGAGGCTCCCAAGTGTAGTTATTTTGCTTTTTTTAAGCCTTTGGTATTAAAAGCAACGGAACAAACAAAACCACAAATTTGAAGAGATACTGAACCACAAGACTCGCTGATTAAAGATAGGTGTTAAGTACGATGATAGGATTCTTTTTAGTAAACATTGAGGAATTCCAAAGCTTGGCTTAGTGATGAAATTTCCTTAGCCTGTGATCTTCAAACCATTGGTGATTAAGATTTTGAGTAAGATGTTCATGTATGATCCCCATGTATAGACTTTGATATCAGGTCATTAACCAGCACATTTCCCTCGTTGGAAGAATTGCACCTGTTTTATGTAGTCCAAATGTTTAGAACCGAAGAAATGAAAATAAAGAAGTAAATTCCATCATAAAGAGAAGTCTGTTTGGACTTCATTGTAGCATTGGTACCTTAAGGTTTGAAGTTGTTTTATCAATGGGTTTACAGTTCTGATACTAAGTTGCAAGCTTTCCCTTTCCTTTCCTAATCTCTTTTCATAAAAGAGAAGATGCAAATAATGCAATAAGTCGCGTCATAATTGCATAAGTTTCAACCAAGACTGGTTAATTGTATATCAGCAGCATTTAGAGAGCATGGAAACCAAGCCTTTTAACATATTTTTTATACCACATCATCTCACTTTTGATGCAATGGCTTCTATAGAAGTAGAACGAGACCAGTTTTTCTTTCATTAGAGAGGTTGCAAATCTGTAAAAGTATTTCTGATTGTTTTAGGTTGTTTCACAAGCTAACTGATGATTGTAATACTCATGCAGAGAGCTGCTGAAACAGAGTTACTGGTGAGATATCCATATGGACGTGAGTGTTCTCTCATTTTTTCCCACCAAGAAATTCTCTTCTTTAATTTTATTTATCCGAGAGGTGAAGGATAAAAACTAACTGACGACTGTATTTGTCCAATTTTAATACTAGATGACAAATGCAATATTTGTTGGATATTCGAAATTCTGTATCTTTTCTAGTGCCTGCTCTTGTTTTCTGTTGTCGTGCTTCACTTAGTTCAGTTTTCTGTTTGAAACAATGTAACTTACTTCTGGGATTTAATACTAGCCTAACCCTTCAAATGTATGATAAATTATGATTTTCTTGTCAGATGTGATTCTGAGGCCTGGCTTCATTTATGGAACTCGTCGTGTTGGCAGAATGGAGTTGCCTCTGGGTGTCGTTGGCAGCCCACTAGAGATGGTACCTTAACTTTTTCTTACTTCTTGTAATTTATTGATCGCCTAGAACTTTATTACTAGTTATACAAAATCATTATAGAAATGACTAGCCCTCCTTAAATATGAAAGATGTCACTCTAGACTGTTCCTCGTGTTGCCCTCTTTAGTCAGTTTGGCAAGAATGCTTAGACCAACAATCTTATGATATTCTTCTGTATAACTATACATGAGACCATGATATTTTGGTGAAATATTGAGAATATATGGATACAAGGATCAAATTCCATGGTGCCAGAAAATATGGAAGTGCTCTTGTTAACTGTAGACCAACTCAGTTCAAATGACTTCATTGCTGAAGTTAGATATAATTGTTAGAGGCTATCTATTTACCATCATAAGCTTTAAGATTAGGTGCCTTACTGCTTGCCCTTCTCCATATTTGCAAAAATGATGCACCTCTAATCGACTGTCCGCTGCAAACCGAGATCATATGCGAGGGGAAATGTTCAAGCTAGGTGGGCCCTCCACTTACTGGCTTAAGATAAGTTCATACTGCAGAAATTTCTTTGTTTCATGCGTTTGGTATTTGGGACAGGATAGGACAAAAACTTGCTGCCTCATGTTTGTTGCGACAATATACTGGGACAGGAGAGGTCTTGAGTGGGACGAAAAAGCATTTTCTTTTCTGTGGAACAAAAATAGGGAGATGGGGCAAGATTGGTAAATTACTAAACTACCCATGTCAAATTAAAACCCTAAAATCTTCCACAATTCTTTCATCTGCCTACTTCACTCTCGCTAGTCCAGTCCTCTCTGACTACCAAACGTAGACGAGCCAAGTTTTGATGATGCAAGCATGTCACTCTTTAGCTTCTCCAGCCATGAACCAACTTGTAGCTGCAAATTTCTATCCCATGTATCATTCACATCTGTCGTGTTTTACTGCCAATCGGTGACATGCAATACGGACGTATGTAACTGCTATTTGTGTGTGTTTTTTTACTAAGACAATAATAACCTGAAAAACGGTTGTGTTTTGCAGGTTCTCCAACATGCAAAGCCACTGAGTCAAGTTCCGCTTGTTGGTCCACTGTTGACACCTCCCATAAACGTTACTGCTGTAGCAAAAGTGGCTGTTAGAGCAGCTATCGATCCAGTGTTTCCTCCTGGCATAGTTGATGTCCATGGATTAATGCGTTACAGCCACCAGAAGTAACCATTCTGCTGTAGTCTTCCCTGATTCCTTTTCAATCTTTTACATACTGAGAGCAATAATAAATTTAGATCAATGTTTGATATCTCCCCAATTGCATGTATCCATAGTATATCACCTCTTCACAACTCCATTCATAGTTTTTTGTGATACAATCCCAGAGTAAAATATGGATTTCGTCCTTGTGGTTTTGCGTTTTTTCTTGGTTTTGGTCCTTGCGTGTAATATTCTGGTTGTTATTTTAAGTTTATATATATATATATATATATATATATATATATATATATATATTTATATATATATATATATCCTTTTCTGATAAATTGGCTAAACTAACAAAAAATAAAAAAAAAATGGCGTTGAAATCGATTTTTATTGACCAATCAGAATTGCCTCCCAGGATCTATAATTGCCTCAAAAGGTCCAATATATATACATTGTTGGACCTTTTGAATAAGAGTCAAGAAGATCTTATGAAAATGGAGCATTTGCGCATAGAAGATGTAAAACAAATTTTAGGC